AAAAAAAAAAAACATTAAAAAATGTATGCAAAACAAGTATACTAAAAAAATTTTAAAAGTATATATTTTTTATTTTTTATAGAAATTATTTGATAATAATTTTTGTCAACATTTTTGAAGTCAAGGCCCCACCGTGCATGTAGGCCAACATTTAATTGATTTACTTAGGCACTCTTAGTCACATATATACATATATATATTCAGGTATTCAGTTTGATATCTGGTATTGTTGTTATTTGGTTTTGACGTTAATTGGCTTTTAATCTAAGGAAACCACTTGAAATTGCCGAGATTAGCAGCGCGACTCGAGTTATGTGCCGAGTCGGGTAGAGTTGGGTGAGTGCGTATTGTTCTATGCTGGGCTCAGTTACAGATATGTCGCATATAGTACTATCAATAGCTGATTCATTTATTTTGCAATTATGTCGTATCTATGTGAATCTGTCATTGGGCCGATTAGTCAGTTTCAGTTACGGTCGCGCTTTCAATTTTATTGAAAAGACGCACTATCACGTCAAAGGGGCGGCCAGCTGATAATCGATAACAATGGGCCCGTTATATAATTTATTATATTTCATTCCTTGATCGAGCACACTTAAGACCTCTGCTATCGGTGCGCTCTGTGTGAATAGCCTCGGAAATATTCCATGCTATGAATGAATTTGGCCAAGAGGCAAGTTCTCTGAGCTGCTCCTTATGCAGTTAATAACTTCATTTCGATTTGTGTCTGTAGCTCTATTGGGAAAGAGTTGATTACCTGCTTGAGTGTTTACCTGTTTCACTGTTCACCTGTTGGCATTGTTTTGACGCCGGCCAGACCTTGGCCGTGAACAACGGACTCGCCTAACCGGCTCGGCTTAATAATGGATCTCGGTCGCCGCTAACCGGATCAATAAGCCCAATCATTTACCGGCCCGCTCCAATTTGGCCAATATTAATGGTTGCCATCTCGCCGCGAGGCATTCAATTTATGAGCTGAAAAGTGAAATGGAAAATTGATTGCGCGTTGTCTGCACTGAGCGAAAATGTGTGCTACAAACTAGTAGAGCTGCTCTTCTATGCGATTTTCAAGTGCAACTTCTCTAAAGCCCAGTAGAGGTTTCTCATTTCATTGTTTTCCTCGCAGCTCGTGTGACTTTACTTTTCCATCAGCGTTTGTATGTGTAACTAGCTCTCGTTTTTAAATTAGCTGCCCTTCTATACGCTTCTCAAATTTATTTTGAGTTTCATGTGGACGAAACCTCTCTGCATTATATTAGAAGTAGGATTTTTATATCATTTTCGTCTCGTATTACTTTTGTCAATCAGTGTGTGTTGACTTCTTCAAGTTTGTTGCTCTTCTATGCGATTCTCAAATTAATGCTACTCATTTAATTAGCTTCTCTTGTGTGTGACACTTGTCTGAAGTAAGAGGAGTAAGAAGCAGCATAGCAGTCCTTAAGATCTTCATTTAATTTTTATGTTACTCTTCATTTCTTTCAGTGTATGTTGACTTTATGTGAAGCTGGCTCGCATTTTCAATTACACTGCTCTTCTCCTTGATTTTCATTAAACGTGAGACTTGTTTGGAGTAGGAGTAGAAGTGGGCGCTTTTTTCATTTATTTGTCTTGCATCTCGTGTTACTTCTTCTTTTCTATCAGTGTATTTTACACTTATGTGTGAGCAACTCTCGTTTTCAATTTCGCTGTTTTTCTCCATGATTTTCAAATGCATAAGACTTGACTTGGTGTCCCTTGTCAAGAGTAGAAATTGTAGGATTTTCAGAATCTTGTCTTAAGTAGAATTAGCAATTGTCATAGCTGTTTTAAGGTTCTTCTTTTCATTTATTACTTATTTTTTCTATCAGTGTAGCTGACACTCGCTTTCAGATTAGCTGCTCTTCTATGCGATTTTCAAACTCTGTCTTAAGTAGTAATTGGCCTAGAATTGTTTAGCTTCTACATTTTCCTATTTTCTCTCAGTGTACTCCCAATCTCATCCTCCATCCATTGTTCTCATTGCAGGCAACTCGCAGCCAGCTGACAACTGCTTTGGGTCTGGCGCTGGCAGCGCTGCTAGTGACCGCTGCCGTTGCGCTGTCGCCGCCGCAGCCAGCTGATCACCTGGTGCCGCCGCCCGCGCCCGTTGCAGCACCCGCACCACCATCGCCGGCGCTGCCTGTAGCGCAGCGACTCACACATGCCGGCTACTCGGAGCCACAGCCACCCGAAGGTGGCTTCATGACGCGCGTCGCCCGCTGGTTCGGCCTGGGCGGTCCGGGCTCAGCGCCGCGCGATCAGCAGCTGAGCGCCAGTGGGCTGAGCTATGCCTATCCGAAGCCGGCGCAGCATTTCACGGCGGACGGCAAGCCGTGCGGCCTGTGCAACAAGTATCCCTGGGTGCCCATGTTTGGGCAGCAGCATCAGCAGCACCAGCAGCAGCAGCAGCAGCCGCCGCCACCACCTCTGCATCTGCATCAACAGCAACTGCCACAGCAGCAGCTCTCTGCCTGGCAGCACCACCAGCATCAACAGCAGCCCTTGGCGCAGGCCTCGCAGCATCGCCAGCGCGCCGTGCAGTTCCAGGCGCCACCCCAGAGCGTCTTCCTGCCCATCTCGCTGCCAGTGCCCGGGCTGAGTCATGTGGCCATGCCTCCACTCTACAACGCGCAGCCATTCCGACCGCTGCCACAGCCACAGGCGCAGCCACAGCAGCCTCATCTCTATCCGCTGGAGAATGTTGGCGCCCACTCGGAGCTGCGACCTGTGCCTGCGGTGCCATCGACCACGCCTCAGCCGCCGCCCAGACAATCGAGCAGCAGCAGCAGCAGCAGCAGCTTTGAGATTGTGCAAAGCCATCAGCTGACAGACTTCGTCACCTCCGTGGAGTATCCGGCCACCTATGTGCAGTCGCATGCCATTGACCTGGGCCAGACGGCAACGGCAACGCCAACGGCCACAGCGCTGCCCAAGAATCACAGACCTCTCCATCAGCTGCAGCAACAGTTGCAACAGCAGCAGCAACAACAGCAGCAACAGCAACAGCAGCATCAGCAGCAGCAGCAGCAGCAGCAACAGCAGCAGGAGCTGGATATAAGCACTGTGCGCTATCAGCTGGAGGATCTGAGCAGCGGTGCAGTGCATCAGCATTTGCCCGCCTCGCAGCTGCTCACCGAGCTGGGCCACTTCACGCCCATCACCGTGGAGACGCCGACAACGCAAATTCCGGCCGCAGACAACTATCCGGCCGCATCGTCGCAGCAGCAGCAGCAGCACGAGGAGGAGCAGGAGCAGCAGCACCTCTACTATGCCGAGCAGTACCAGGACCTAACGGAGACGAGCACCGTGACGCCCGTGTACGAGTCGCTGGTCTACACCACGGAGCAACCGGCGCCGGCTCCGTCGGCTGCTGTCGAGCTGAACAATCATCTGGTGTCGCACGGGCGCGATGGACGGCAACGGGAGACGCCCAAGCGACTGCTCGACTCGCCCATCAATCATGGCCAGGCGCACGGCGCACCGCCGCCACGCCCCTTCACCCGTGATCCCGCCGAGCTGAGCTTCCGGCACGACCAGCCGACGCAGACGCAGACGCAAGCGCCGACGCCGACGTCCACGTACGGTGCGATCGATGCCAGCGGACAGTATGCGGGCATGTCGCCGCCGGGACCACAGCAGGTGATCATACCGTATACGACCAAGCAGAAGCCACGCCCCTTCGAGCCGGTCAACTGGACGCCCGGCTGGCGGCTGCGGCCGAGCCAGGAGAACGAGCTGCACGAGCAGCAGGAATCGAAGCTGGTGAGCACGTCCGCAGTGACAGTGGCGCCACCACCAAACACGCGTCGCACCACCAAATATCTGACCAAAATCCTGGCCTCCAATCTGCGCGAGCTGCTGAAGCGGGAGCGCGAGACGAAGCGACGGCCCGCCCACTTTGGCGTGGACATCTCGAAGCTGCAGCACAACATCGACGGCTGGACGGAGCAGGAGTACAATTCTCTGTCGCACCGCCCCAGCACGCCGACCATACGCGGCCGCTCCAAGCACATACCCACGGAGTATCTGACCACAACGACGCCGGCTACCCCGACGGCCACATCGACGGCGCTGCGTCAGTCGAAGACGACGCGCAGCGGTGTCGCCGGTGGCTTCGAGCTGGGCAGCGGCGCCACCTCGAGCCTGGGCAATGCCGGGGACTTGTCCACCTCGATTAACAATCTGGAGCAGCTGCATCTGCGACGCTTCCCGCCCGTCGAGGACAATCGCCTGCTGCCCGACTACCACGAGTCGTCGCATCGCACCACGCCCATGCCCTCAGCCACGCCCACGGTGACAACGACAACGCCAGCGCCCATGGCGGAGACGACGCGCGACTCCATCACGCCCCTGTATATGCGCACCACCGCCTCCACGCCGGCGCCCGTCGAGCTGTGGAAGCAGGCCAAGGTGGCCATTCTGCCCCAGACCAACGAGAAGGTGTACGTCGTCACGCCACAGCCGCGCCATCAGCCCCAGCACAGCGAGCTGGCCGCATCGGCCTCGGTGCCGGCGCCGGTCTACCAAACGCCGGGGCCTAGATTTCCACGTGTGCGACCCACACCAGCTGCGGCAACAGGTAAGAGCATACGGGATAGGCTTATTAGTAGCATTTAAGGCCAGTGGGGCTGCTTCCCGTGCTTCACACTCCATCATACACTTCCTTATAAAGTGAACTGGGTATATTGGGCTGGTCCGTCTGTCTATAAGCGTCTAAGCCAGCTTTGCCTAGGGTCTTTCTGGCAAATAGGACAATGGAGTCTGTTTCTCCTGCTTGAAACTTCGATGCATATTCTTTTCATACTCTCTCACATAGTAAGCCGGGTATATTCGCATCGGCTATCAGTCTGTATGCTATGCTTGGATGTGAGACAATGGAGTGCAGATCTCCTGCGATTCACTTTCATATATTCTCACTTTATACTCGCTCAAGAAGAAGAACTGGGTATATAGGGTTTGTCCCTTAGAGATCGAAAACTGGATTAAACAAGTTTATAGCTTATATAACCTTAAATAGAAATATCTGTCTGATATGTGGAAATCCTTTTGGGACGTGGTAAAAACTTCTCAGCTTTAGAGCTGGGATTACAACAGCTCAGTGTTAATCCACTCTACATGTCCTGCCCATTAGGATAAGCCACGATTATGTGATCATGATGCGTGAGTATCATGCAGTCGGTGCTTGCCAGCCAAGTTGAATATAACCTCTTTAATCTTATACCTTTCTCTCTCTCTCTCTCTCTCTTTTGCTCTTCGCCACTTTCACTCTCCGCTTACAGTCACCAGCGATGTAATGGCCGCCACGCCCACGCCCGCGACAGAACAGGTGCGCAACTATACGCCGGACATATTTGGCTTGATGGGTCTGTCCGCCTATGTGCCAGCGGAGCCAGTGGAGATCATTGATGGCAATTCCAAAGTAAATCGCAATGCAGCAAACCGTTGGCTTTGATACGTAATCATAATGTTTGCTTTGTCTCGAACACACTCACACACACATATGCATATTATTCATGATTCATCACTGCATCCACATCCGCTCACTCGACACTCACACACACACACACTCAGATAATCACAATTGTGACAGCGGCGCCCTCGGCGGCTGCGCTGCAGCGACCAACACCAAAGTCCACGATATCGCCTAGACCCAGATAGAGCCAATGCCAGGACGCAGCCCGCCAGGACTCAGCCGGAGCAGAGAGCAGAGATCAGAGAGCAGAGAGTTCCTGAGTTCCGATTTCCCAAAGCGGTTCCATTGACCAGAGCGGCGCATCTATTGTAATATATTTCCCCAGGCTGATTCGATGGATGTTTGCACCTGACTTATCGTGTTGCGAATTTATTTTGTAAGCCTTAAACCAATTTTAGAGTATTTTTGCATTTGGTAGCTTTACACGTACACTTAGTTTTATCCGTATTGGTAATGTGTTTTACTACTACATATATATATTTTTTTGTTTTTTTTTTTTCGTGACGTGAACTTTAATTGTACTTGAAATATATACAT